TTAAAAATAATGGGCTGCTACCCTCTATAGCAGAGCCCAGGTGGTAGAGTGGTTAAGAGCTCAGCTCTAACCAAAAGGTCTGAATCCACTAGCTGCTCCTTGGAAACCCTATGGGGCAGTTCTAGTCTATCCTACAAGGTCGCTATAAGTCAGAATGGACTTAATGGTAACAGGTTTGGTTTTTTCTTTGGTTTACCCCCAATAATAGACTAAATTCATCTTGGGAAATTTTTGATAAGTCCGTTGGTTTCTCATATGAGTACCTTTCACATAACATTCTCTCCAGGAAAAAACGACATTCTCTTTAGGACCTGGGTTCTAGGCTAGGGTTCTGATATTTGTTTTAAGTCCGTAAAAGTTCGTTTTCTCTCTGACCCCAAATTTCCCATCTGGAAAACAAGGGCTTTAAATAGTTCCGTAAGATTTTTTTTTGGGTAATGGAACTTCCACCAAGCTAATAGCAATTTATAATACCAATATGTAAAACAGATAAAAAGGCTGTGCTGGTAACCGCAGGAGTACGGAGTACCTGCTTCAGCTTCTCATTTCGTCCAGCTCCTAACACATCTGAAAAAACTTCAGGTTGCAGAGAACTGAAGGAATTGTGATTTCACAGTAACGTTTATTGGGCACTTTCTATCTGCAAGGCATGTGAATGAACTCATTTTATCTTCACAACAATCCTATGAGGTAAGTACTATGATTATCTCCATTTTATAGACAAGGAGACAAATAGGTAAATATGACTGAATGGCTGAAAGCATGGACTCTAAAAGCTAACTATTGGGATTTGAAACCCAGCTCTCCCACTTAATAGTTGTGTGACCTTAAGCAAGTTAAACTTTGTGTGTAAGTTTCCTCATTGTAAAATGGAGATGATAGTATCATAGGATTGCTGTAAGGATTAAATGATTTCTAAATATGAGCTTACTATTACTACTGAGTCTCTACCCAAGCTCACACAGCTACCAAGTAGAAAAGCTCAGCTTTGAACCTAGCCAGCCTGGAGTGTATATTTCTACTCTACTAAAAGGCAATCCCTCTACGTGTTTGTCAGTTTGTCGTACTGTGGTGGCTTGTGTGTTGCTATGATGCCGGAAGCTATGCCACCAGTATTTCAAACACCAGCAGGGTCACTCATGGTGGACGAGTTTCAGCAGAGCTTCCAGACGAAGGCAGGCTAGGAAGAAAGGCCTGGGGATCTACTTCCAAAAATTAGACAATGAAAACCTTACGGATCACAACAGAATATCGTTTGACATACTGCTGAAAGATAAGCCCCCTAGGTTAGAAGGCACTATCGAATAGCTGCAACAATGGACGCAAACATACCAATGATCACAAAGATGGCGTAGGACTGGGCAATGTTTCATTCTGTTATACGTAAGGTCACATGAGTCAGAGTGAACCCACTGGCAACTAAAACAGCAACAAAAGGCTATCATTTAAAGCAGGAGTTTAAAATCTTGGTAACTCAAAAATTTCAAAGTTCTTCCCGTTAAACAAAAAAATTATTTATGGACTCTTAGGTTTATATAACACCTGTAACTTGTCAAATGTAATGTCAACTCTGACCATATTCCAGTAAGTTTTATCTTTAAAAATTTTAGAAAGCTTACATTGAAAAGCTTCTTCTGTTTATCTACATTGCATTTAGACAACATTCTAGCAAGGAAGCACCATGAAATAAATGTTTAATTACTTCTACTCTAGTGGGGAAGTCTGAGGGCAGCTCAGCTAACACTGCTGCTGTATAGCAATATCACAGAGCCCAGCTGTCTATTTACAGCTTGAGAACTGATGCCAAGAGAAACAGAGTAGTAGGGAAATACTGGAAATCTAGACAGCTTTGTTGAGTGTCTATCGCAATGCATGAAGAAAAAACCTCAGATAAACCACACCCTCATTTAAATTAAAGCACAAAACCACAATCCAAGGCAGATGGAAACTAGCCATCATTTGGTGCTCCTGCTGTATTAGTTTCCTACTGCTGTTGTAACAAATTACCACAAACTCAGTGGCGTACAACTACACAAATTTATATCTTACAGTTATGTAGTTCAGAAGTCAAAACGATTCTCACAGGGCTAAAATCAAGGTATTGACAGGGCTGCATTCCTTTCTGGAGGCTTTAGGAGAAAATCAGTTTTACTGCCTTTTCCAGCTTCAAGGGGGTGCCCACAATCCTTGACTCAAGCCCTCTTCAATTTTCAAAGCTAGCAATGGCCGGTCCAGCGTTTCTCACATCACATCACTTTGACACTAGTCTTCTACCTCCTTCATCCATCTTTTAAGGACCCTTGTGATCACACTGGGTCTACCCAGATAATCTCCCTATTTGGTTCAAATAATTCAGAGTTCATTCATTCAGTGAGGCCATTTTACTGAGTACTCAATATATTTTAGTTTCTGGTAGGCTCTGGGGCATACACAAGAAAATAGAATACAACAAGCAGAGTCCGGATTACGAATGAGTTCTATTCCTAAATTGAATTTGTACATAAATTGAACAGTTAGGTATGGTTCATAACATTACTTAGTCAAATGTTTGTCTTACTATATAGTATATAGTATACCTTTCCATGCAAAAAAAAAACATTAAAGAAACACTTCCAGATAAAAGTAGCACCTGTTTGTTTTTCCAAACCATTATAGGAACCTCGAATTTTTAATATAACAGGCTTTATGCATGTTGGTTCATAACCACTGCAAGTCAGACGTTCATAACCTGGTGGCTGCCTGTATCTCATTTGCCTATACTTAGCTGACAATTCATGAATCAGAGTAGTTACTGAAAGCTACCTGAAGGCAGAGACCATGAGTGAGTAAATTTGTTTGTATACTGCTGCAGTGGAGTACCACTTAGTGTTTCTTCTTTGTAGCATATGCAATTATAACAGAAAAAGTTAGGTTTTAAGGGAAAGGCAAACTAAGGTCTAAAGATCAAGTTACTTCACTTCTCTAAGTCTTAGACTTCATCTATAAAATGGGATAAGATTATCTATCTCAAAGTGTTGTTTTTCATGAGGATTAAACAGGAACACATGTAATACTCCTGGCATGGTATTCCAAAAATGTAAATCTCTTTCCCTTCTGGCATTTTAAGTATCTAACATTCATTTGAATATTTCCAAGACTTGCTCTGCATTAGATGCTATGAAAGACTGTAAAAGAAAGGTTAGACATGGTCCCTGCCCTAAAATAAAAAAACATTTCTGACTGGGTAATACACAGGAAATACCCGAAACAAGGAAAGATAAAGGTAAACCTAAGCGGGCTCCATGAAGAGTTAGGACTTAAGACTTGGTTTGGAAAAGCAAATATATGATTTCCTTTTTACTTTAACAAAACAAAACAAAAAAAACCAAAAATGCTAATCCATATTTCAAAATACGGTAAGGGGGAAACTTAGGAGTGTCTATTTGCACTTCAGGAGCCCTGCTGGTGCAGTGGGTAACAGCTTGACTGCTAACTGAAAGGTTGGTGGTTCAAACCCATCAGCCTACCCTTGGGAGAAAGATTTGGCAGCTGGCTTCCATAAAGATTTACAGTCTTGGAAACCCTGTGGGGGCAGCTCTACTCTGCCCTATAGAGACACTATGAGTCGGAATAGACTCGAGGGCATCGGGTTTATTTGAGCTTTAGAGCTTGAATATGACTTTGAGATCAATCTAGCACAGTGATTTTCAAACTATTCCCTGGATCCCTAGGAGTCTACACATGTGAAGGAAAGGGAAATCCAAGCAGATCTTTCTCCCAATTTATTCTGCTTTACCCTTTGGGTGAAATTAAAAACTACTAGATAAGATAAATTTGGGGATTATCTGTGGATTTTAATAGTCCACAAACCAAAACCAAACTCATTGCCATCAAGTCGATTCTACTCATAGTGACCCTACAGGACAGAGGAGAACTGCCCCATAGGGTTTCTAAGGCTATAATCTTTACAGGAGCAGAATGCCACATCTTTCTCCCATGGAGCCGCTGGTGGGTTCAAACCGCCAACCTTTCGGTTAGCAGCCGAGCAATTCACCACTGTGCCACCAGGGTCCCCATAAACAAAAAACCCGCTGCCTTCGAATCAATTCTGACTAATAGCGACTCTATAGGTCAGAGTAAAACTGCCTGATAGTGTTTCCAAGGAGAAGCTGGTGGATTCGAACTGCAGTTCCCCTGAATTCAATGGTGAAGAAAAAGTAAACGTTAGCACAGAGTTTTGAAACACAACCATTTAGTCGCCACAGGAATCTGATGGACCTAGTTTTCACTGTTTAATTAACGATTCGGAAGAGAACACAGACTACCAATTACACCCACAAACCTTATCAACACCAACAGTATCGTAAACGATAACATAGTAATACTCTGCACTTCCTCTGTGCCTCGGAGCTAATTTTATCTTACATATATTATCTTATTTCACACATCAACCCTGAAGGCAGATTTGGAGTTAATTATTTTTTATGCTCATTTTTTGATTTCTTGTCGATAAGAGCTAAGAAAAAGTAACGTACTGAAGGTCACACAAGACGTAGGCGGTTGAGTCCAGAATTAAAAGACAAATATGTTTTCTTTACTCTCTAACAGGAGGCTGGGATCCCTGGTGGCGCAGTGATTAAGAGCTAGGCTACCCAAAAGGTCGGCAATTCGAATCCACCAGCCGCTCTTTGGAAACACTATGGGGGCAGTTCTACTGCGGTTGCTATGAGTCGGAATCGACTCTCTGGCAAGGGGTTTTTACCATCAGGCTGCCTAATGAGACTGCAGTTGTACCATCCATGAGGCGTGAGAAGAGTGCACAGAAACACCATTGCGTGTAGGCAGTGATGTGAAATTTGAGAAACGTAAGCTGTTATAAAGAAAAAGGAGGGGGGAAAAAAAAAAGCAGTGGTCGAGCATAGACCATCGCGCCAGTTCTGCCGTGGTCCCAGGTCGGCAACCCAGAGCCCAGAAGGAAGCCCCCTAGGAGGGGCGCCGACCCTACGGATCTCTCTCCCTACCTCATGAAGGTTCGGAGTCCCACTCCTTTCCCTCATCGGTATAACCCCCGGGCCGGTTCATTCCCTCACCGTGAGTCGGGGACCGGTCGTCCAGAAGCGATGAACCGCAACAGCGAAGAACGCTCAAATTGGACGGCAGGAAGCTACCTAGCGCGCAGCCGCCGCGGCCTCCAACCACCTGCCGGCGGAGGGGCGCGAGGCCGACTCCAACCCGCTCACCGCGGCGGGAGGAGGAGGAGAGAAGTGAGACACGGCGCCGCGGCAACGAGCCTGGAGAGGTAGATAAGTATACGTCTCTGACCACCACCCGCGCAATTCCAGTCATAACCGCAAGCTCTGCCCGTTTTCGCCTGTCCTTTTGCCCCTACCCCTGCAGCCAAGAGGAATGGAATAGTCCCACGGGGGGGATTGTGGGAGGCGCACGCGCGAGGGGTGGAGGGTAGGGGGGGCCGGAGGAGGAGGAGGAGGAGGAGGCAGCGGCCGTGGCGGCGGTTGGTGGCAGTGGGGGCGGGGAGGGGGGAGGAAAGAAGAGGAGGTGGAGGAGGAGGCTTGGACTCGCGCCGCTAAAGGTACGCGTGAGGGCCCGCACCAGAGCCGGCTTGACAGGGGCCGAGGGGGCTCGGGGGACCGTGCGAGGAGGAGCCCTAGAGCGAGCGCGTACGGGCTGGCGGGTGAGTGGGGCGGCGAAGGTGGTGGGAGCGGCGAGCGAGAGCCCAGATACACTCAGGCGCGTGCGGGCGGGCGTGCGCGCTCCGCGGCCAGAGTCGGGTGAGCGGGGGGGGCGGTGGGGGAGAACGCGGGGAGGGAGGAGTGGGAGGTGGGGGGGCACGAGGCGCCCTTCGCTCCCTCCCTCCCGAGGAGCTGCCGCCGCCGCCGCTCTGCCGCCGCCATTTTGGGTTCGCTTTGCGGAGGGGGAGAAGATCCCCGTTTTGGTTGTGGGACCCGCCTCCCCTCAGTTTCCCCCCTTAGCCCTACGCCTTTCCCTTCTCCCCTCTCGCATTTCCGCCAGTCCGCTCACCCGCTGTCCGCCTCCTGACAAGCGGGAGGGATCTGCCGTGGACCAAGGGAAGCGGAGGAGCCTGGTGGCGGCCGCCCCCTCCTCCCCACCTCCCTGCACTCTCATCTCTCTCGGCCTCGGCCTCTGACACGGTGAGTAGAAGGGCCTGGGGAGGCCTTTGGGCCTAAGTACTCCCTCAGCGAGGCAAGCCTTGGCTTTCTGGGAGCTGCTGACATCTCCCGGACCTGGCCGTCCGGGAGCGAGGTGGTAAGGATGGGGGAGGGGAGAGCAGGGAAGGGGATCCTGAGCTTACCGGGAAGTCCCTCCAGGCGGGAGTGAAGGGGTGTCCCTGACAGGCCGGCTCCTGGCTTGGAGGAGGGGGCGGGAAAGTAAGCCCGTGGAGGCGGAGTCGGCTGTGCCCCTGACAGGTTAGGTTTTGTGTGGGCATGATTGGAGCATCCCCCATGTCTAGTTTGTTTCTGTTTAAGGGATAAGAGATTCAGGGGAGATCATCTTCAGAAGGTAGTTTACCTGTATGGAAAGACCTGTGGTGTCCCTGACACGCTAAAATGTATGTGGGAACGACAGAATGATCTTATTGTTGTAAGTTTAATGTCACTGGCTAATTTGTACATGGAAAGAGATGTTTTGGTCTAGAAGACAGATGGTCTGTTGGTGTGTAGCGGCAGTGTTTGTGTGTGTGTATGCAAGGATGGAAAGTGTTTCTCAAGGGTTTGCCCGGATTTGTGTAAGTGTAATGGAGTTCTCCTTGCAAGTTAGCTCATTTTTAAAATAAATGTTGACGTTTTTTCTGCAGGTTGATGTGTGTGTAAGTATTTTAGAGCTTGGGAGCACCCTGTTACTTACTGGGAAATAGCAGTAATGGCAGTATACCAGGCAATATACTGTGTGTGTGTGTGTGTGTGTGTGTGTGTGTGTGTGTGTGTGTGTGTTGGGGGGGGGGTCAGGGAGGGGAGAAACTTGGAATAGCTTAAGTCTTCAGACCAGTTGTGGTCTTAAGAATAGTTTGTGCCTCTGAGTAGAGTGAATTGTGTAAATGTGAAGGTCCAGAACATCTTTTAACATAGTAATTGCTGTGAGGGTAAAAAGAATGGGTGGCTTTTTCGATGACCTTGGTTTGTATCAACACTTAATGATAGAATAAAACTTTTATAATTTTTAGAGTGCTCTTTCAGTTTCTTTGTGATCCTGAATTTCTGTGAAAGTGCTAGGATAGATGTTTTCCCCCATTTTACGAAATAAGAAGTTGAAGTATGAAGAGAGAGAGTTTTCCAAAGTCACACATTAAGTTGATGGCAAAGTTGGGACTAGCATTCAAGTTTTTTTTGACTGCTAATCCACTACTACATGCACCGTACCACGGTGCCTCAGGAAGTCTTTAGCAAGCGTCTGAGTAGATTGGAAAGATAACGTGTATGACTGTCTGGGATTGTTCCTGGGAGAGATCATTTGTGTCACGTGTATGGAATATAGGTTGTCCTTGCCAGTCTGATCTGTATGAAATGGATATCCATGACTGTTATTTTATGTTTTTGGAGGAAGCAAAACATTTCTGATAGTTTAGCTTGTATATTTGAGAGAGGAACGTCTTTCACAGCTTAATTTGTACCAGAGCAGCTCCATCGAGGCTGACATCTTAACTTTAAATCTATGGGAGGAAGAATCCTTCTTTCATTCATTCAACAAATATTTATTGAATGCTCACTCAGTAAATGGTCCCTGCTTTGGGGTGACATTAACCAGGGTGATGCTGTTGAAATAGCCTGGGTGCATAGGAGGGGAATTGCTTGGAATTGAAACTAGAAAACTTGCCTTAAAAAGATATTCAATTTGGAGGAAATTTAAGTCTTCCAGACAGTTTAATATGGAAGGGTACAAGAATATGGAACAGAGCGGACAATTTTTGATAAAATGTACTGCCTTTTCTATGTTGTTTTGGTATTTGTGAGCAAACTATTTTTGGGAACTGGGAATTGTTGATTTATGTGCCTGTGGATATTGGAGCTTTTTGGCTGGGCCGAAGAAATTCTTTGAAGGACTTACTTTGTAGTAAGGAGCCCCCTCTATGAATATACGAATTGAGCGAACTTATCTGTATCCCTGGTGGCACAGTGGTTAAGTGCTCTGCTGCTAACCTAAACGTTGGTAGTTTGAACCCACCAGTTGCTCCGCTAGAGAAAGATGTGGTGGTCTACTTTCATAAAGATTACAGCCTTGGAAACCCTTTGGGGCAGTTCTTTTCTGTCCTGTAGGGTCACTATGAGTCATAATCGACTTGATGACAGTGGGTTTTTTTACCTGTACTCCACTGGAAAGTATGATTTTTTTGATAAACTGGTTTAGTGGATTCTTAAAGTTTTTTTGGATCACTTACCTTGTGAGAATCTGATGATAGTTACACGGGACCCTCTCTACAGAAAATGAATATAATACGTGCAATAACACAAATTATGTGTACAATTTCAGGAACTTAAACTATGATGAAAGAGAAACAGTTTATATATTCAGGTCTCATTTCGGGGTCTTTTTTGTGATTTTGTTTAGGAGTGGGAGTAGAGACATTTCTTGAAATGTTGGTATAAGTTTTAACATTGAAGGTTTCTGTGACAGTGTTTGAACATTTTGACAGTAAGGAGAACTTTAGGATCCATGTTTTCTATTCTTTCCGTTCTTTTGCAAACTTATTTCTGCAATTTGAGTACATGATTCTGAATTAGGTGATAAGGGAATATAATATATTACAAATGACTCTGGCTTTATTCTCTTTCAGTATTTTTTTACTGTGAAGTTCTTGAGAAATTGGCTCATCTCTACAGTTTTGCATTGCAGCTGAGGTTGTTTGAAGCTCATTTCTTGAGCTTTAGCTTAGTTATAACAAACATTTACTGAGTTAATCCTTAGTGGGGAATACAGTGATGAATATATGGTCTCTGTCCTTGAAGAAGGAGCCCTGGTGGTGCAGTGGCTAAGGTGCTCGACTGCTGAGTGGAAGGTAGGCTGTCTGCTTCTGTAGAGTTTTACAGCCTTGGAAATCCTATGGGGTCGCTGTGAGTCGGAATCTGCTCAACGACAGTGGGTTTGATTTGATTTAGGTCCTAGAAGACAGTCTAGTCCAGTTGAAGCTATGGGTCGTATGCTAGTGAGGGCTTTCAAAAGGACAAGGAGGGAAGCTTATTCTGGAAGTTGAGTTTAGTGACTTAATTGCAAAGAGCTTTTGCTATTACTTATTCTTAAGAAGTTTTCACACTGGTTAAGAGCTACAGCTGCTAACCAAAAGGTCAGCAGTTCAAATCCACCAGCCACTCCTTGGAAGCCCTATGGGGCAGTTCTACACTGTCTTATGGGGTCACTATGAGTTGGAATCGACTCGACAGCAACGGATTAAGAAGTTATCATGTTTTCACCCTCTGTATGCAGCTTTGTAGAAGCCCTGGTGGCGCAGAGATTAAGAGCTTGGTTGCTAGCCAAAAGGATGGCAGTTCGAATCTACCAGCCGCTCCTTGGAAACCCTATCGTGGGCAGTTCTCTGTCCTGTAGGTTTGCTGTGAGTTGGGATCCACTGGAAGGCAACAGGTTTATATGCAACTTTGTAGCTAAAAAATGTGTTTTGGTATGATCTGATATTTTTGGATAAAGGAATCATTTGATTTAAAAAGGAGGCAAACATTAGTAAAAGAACTCTCACTCCGTTAGCTTGTTTTGGGATGTATTTCTACAATGAGTTTATGTTAAAAGGTCTTAATGTCATTTTTGCTTATATGTACATCTGGAAAACCCTTCTGGGGTAAAATCCAGCTATACCCATTAAAAATATTACTGCAATTTTGAAAGAGCGAGAGATTCAGAAAGGTGTTTTTGGTAGGACAGATTACAGGATTCAGTAAGATAATGGAGCGATCTTTTGAAAAATGGTCTGGTTGTCACTTTTCTTTATCGGCCCTGTGTAAGAATGTCATGTAAATTTGTGAAAGGTTAATATTTTTTCTAATTTTTAAGCTAGGTAGTAGTTTCATTGGTGTTATTAATAATAATAATGTGTGTGCAGTGTGTATATATGTTC